CAACTAAACTGATATTTGACATGTAACTAGACTGCCCTTGAAATAAACAATATACACTAAGAAATTCTTTTAAAACAGATTTTCAAAATGATCAGTACCATCTAGACTTTTCTTTAATTCAAGCCTTCAATTGCTGCTTCAGTTTAAGAAGTTTTGTTGGACAACTTGGAAATTTCTTTGACTCTGAAAGCAAAATTTGGGAATGGTTTTAACAGAAGGCTTTTCAAAACCTAACATCATTTCCTATTATTCTTGCAATTGAGAGCTGTCTTACAAATGGAGCTCATCTCTTGGAAGTGGCCGAAATCCTTCAAAAATAAACTCCCAATCCAATGTGCATAAAATGTTTTTATTGCTCATTTGAATGAAATGCTTCCTCAAGTTGGAAAACTGCAACATAAATACTGAAATATTATTTTAAATTTAAATAACCCCAGTGAAGATGTTTAGGTCAGTGAAAATATTCTGTATGACATATGTCATTATACATTTGTCCATGCCTATAAAATATACAACACCCAGAAAGAACCTTGATGCACATTATAGGGAGGTAATGACGTGACAATGAGTTGTAACAAATATACCACTTTCAGGGGATCAGTTGAAATGGGGAAGCTGTGCGTAAATAGAGGCAGAAGATATATGAGAAATATCTGTACCTTCCTCTGTTTTGCTCTGAACCTAAAACTAGGGTACTTCAAAAAATAAAGCCTATTTTTCTAAATATGTATAAATATCCCCTACTGTTAATTCATCAACTTTTTTTACTGGTAAAACTGTACAGAACACTGCTCCATTTTTAAATTGTCACATTTCATGTGTGTAAAATGTTTAAGCACTCACGACACACAAGGAAGAGTGCTTCCCTACTGTCATGTGTTCACCAAGTGAATTACTGCAGATGAAGGAGCGTGAAGGAGGGGCCCCTGAACTATCAGGCACAAACCTGAGCGACCCAACTAGGGAAGGGGAGGAATGGGCCCCAAGAGAGGCCCCAGACAACAGGAGGTGTCTTGTTTGGGGGAGGATGGATGTGCATGAGGATGGAAGTCCCGGATGCTCCAGAAGGGAGGGCCCAAGAGAGATAACATTCAAGTCCTCACAAAGGACATGCACTCAGAATGGAATGCTCTACAATGAGGCCCTTCATCTGACAGTTTCGGGACAGAAAAGGAGACACACGAAGAACTATGTAGACCTCAGCAAATATACTGGGTGTGGGCACACAGGAGATTGAGGGAAAAGTAGAATATAAAATAAAGAGAAGCCCAAATGCACAGAGGAAGAATGCCTGGGATTATTTTTGAAAAGGTCAGCTGAAAACTTGAAATAAAAAAATACATTTTGTGCTATAATTCCAAAGATGAAACCATGGCAGAAATGCTGAAGCTGCTATTAATTCATCATCCTCTATAGCCAAAACTGCTCAATTTTTAAGTGCCACAAAAGTGGCTAGGAATAAACTATTTGCTAATCAATAGTATACCTACTAACATCTGAGCCTTAGTCTAAGAACCAGCAATGAAGCCAGGCATACTGGTATAGGCCTGGAATCCCAGTACTTGGGAGGCTGAGGCAGGAGGATCACCATGAGTTCAAGGCCAGCCTGAACTACATGGCAAGAGCCTGTCTCAAAAGAAAAGAACCAAAAATAAACAGAATTTTTTCAAAGGCTACTGAATCAGAAGAAAACAATAACAAAATGATTATAAAAGTCTCTTATACTCATTTGAGGAATCAGCCAATCCTTTGGCCAAACTTAGCCAATCTTACCAACAGCTTGGTAAGTCCAATTTCCTTTGAAGTATCCTGAGAATTCGGCCAGTATTCTTGGCAGTAATTCTTGAGCAATCTCACTCTTGTTTCTGGCACTGTAAGGAACTAAAAGGAGGTAACAAAGAAACTTCAAAGACAAAACTCTACTAAATTTCACCAGGCTCTTGGCCTAGCAAGACACTAGACAGCAAGTGTTGAAAGAAGGTTAGCACCTGGCCCCAGGTGAGCAGCTTCATAGCTTTCACCATCCCATGACAACTCCTACTATTCCTGCCTCTCAGTAAATCATTTCAAATCCTGGCCTTCCACATCTGTATAACAGAAATCTAGGCTACTGAAATTCCAAACTGTAATGAATGCAAAAAGCTCATTATAATGAGTGGGAACAAGAGCCTCTTATTGTAAATATATAAATATTATGTATGTATACATATGTACACATGTATGAAAAGGATAAAGAGGCACATATACCTGTACACATAGGAAGTAATCCTGGAACAGCAAAGAAGAACCTCAGGTTGGGACCAGAAGAACAATGACCTTTCACTGAACACATTTAGTGCCCTAAATGTTACCTTTCACCTGCTTAAGTTATTTTAAATAAAGGCAATCTCTAGAAAGTTAATATGAGCTATATATTTGTTCACAGCAAGCTATCTAAGAAGAAGCTGGCCTCTCCTTGCTGCCTAAAACCTTGTCTGTCTCTCGGTTTGTATCTGTCTCTCAGGATTTCTCTCTCCCTCTCTTTTTCTCTCTTTATATCTCTGTATTTTGTAGTTCAGTTCTACTGGTATCTCTGTTCCCTTATGCCCACATCCAAATTCAGTGGTCAAGTTATCAATCCCACTTGGGGGATTCTGGCAGAAGTACTGTGAAAGACAATCTGCACCCCTGCCTCGAGCTATGGGCATCCCCCCATGGGCATGGCTCCCAGAGTCATGCCCCCAACCCACACCCCCAAAAAGAAGCACAACACATTGGCTCTGACATTCCCCATCCATCTCAGTGCTTGTTCAAGATTTCAGGATGATTCCAAGGCATGTCAGCTCCAGAGGCAAACAAAGGATCTGGCTACATCTGCCTTGACCCTGAACCCTCCCCTCCTGCTCCCCTGTGGCTGCTTTCTGTAACTTTCCTTCTTGGAACTCTGAAATATCCTGTCAGAACCACTTCTGTCCAATGAAAAGAAACTTTGGAAAATGTTCTAAGTATATACTATAAGGAATCAATTTAAAAAAAGAAAAGTACTGGTTCAAGTTAGGATTTTGTAAATCATGGAGCAAAAGCTAAAGTAAAAGCAACAGGCTTTCAGTAGAAATCCTATTTTGAATTTCAATATTTTCCCAAGCTACCAATATGTGGTATGAACAGCAGCAAACTGTAGCTCCCAGTTAGCCACATGATTATGAAGAAAAATAGCAAACTCCACACTGTACAGTGTTGTTAAGCTGTGATGTTCAGTAGGTTAAGTACATTAAATGCATACTGAATTAGGAAATTTTCATTGTACTCTGAGTTTATTACTGACATACAATTGAGCAACTCTGGCCCAGTGGGTGGGCCCAGCAAAGAAAGTAATTTGTTGAAAGCTTAATGAAGTGGTACCACACAGCAAAGTGTATTTCATGGAGCCGTAGTAGACTTTAAACACACCTGTGACTTCATATGTGTTAGTGTCCCTTACCCAAAGTTTCACTTTTTGTGGCTTCAGTTACCTGAAGTCAACCATGGCCTGAAAATATCAAATGGAAAATCACAGAAAAAAACAAGTAAGTTTTAAGTAACTCACATTACAGCATGACGTTATAACTGTCTTACTTTATTATTAGTTAATAGTCTCATAGTTGTTAATCTCTTATTGTGCCTAACTTATAAATTAAACTACCACAGGTGTGTATAAATAAGAAAGAACATAGTACATGAACACAGATGGTTCAGTAATATCCTTGGTTTCAGGCATTCATCGGGGTCTTGAAAGCTATATTTCACAGACAAAGTGGGGCTACTGTATTTCATTGCAGAAATCCTAGAATTCCTCAACATCTGTCTGATGGATTTCTTGGAACTCCTGCATTCTACACCAGCACCACCAAGCAAAACGTTCAAAGAGAAATGCATTATTCGATACAGTTGTCTTGAATTCCTCTCTTAATAGGCTCTCTGTTTGAGCTGGGCATGGTGGCACACTCCTGTAATCCCACCATTTGGGAGACTGAGGCAGGAGAATGGTAAATTTGAGGCCACTCTGGGCTACACAGAGAATACTAATCGAGCATAAACTATATAGTGAAACTCTGTTTCAGAAAAATTTTTTTAAATTGTCCTTAACTATGTGTGGTTGCTGAGCACTCAAAATGTGCCTAGAGCATGGAGGAACCAGATTCATTCATGTTATTTCACGTAATCCATTAAACCTAATTAACCACATGTAGCTGGGAGCTTCCACAGGGGACAATGAGCCCCAGACCACTCTATTTCTTTCTTTTTTGTTTTTTTTGGTACTGGGGATGGAACTCGGGTCCTTGCACTTGCACAACAGGTGGCGAAACCACTGAGCTAAATCCCAGGCCCACCACTCTGTTTCTTGAGGCACAATCTGGAGATCAGGTAGAACAGGCACACTGTGCACCAGAGGCAGATGGACGGATGCACGTACTTTCTAGTTCAGACTACTTGGCCAGTCACTTAACTTCAGTGGGTTAAAAAGGATTACTACTGCTACCCTACAGAGTGACTCTTGGACACACAAGATAAACTGGCTCACAAACAGCCCTCAAAGAGAATGCAAGCCAGCAGGAAGGATATGCCTTCCATGTTCCTCCAAGCTCGCTCAGATTTGACACCTAGGATTTGGCTGTTTCAGTCATTTTCTCCAAAGGAATGCAGTTGTTAGGGAAACAGACTTTCAGTTCTAGGAAACAAGGGTCCTAGAGCCTACCAAAGATGACTCCCAAATGAGTGGGTCAAGAAGAAATGTGAAGAATCTTACTCCTCCCTGACACCTTAACTAACAATCATCAGGAAAAGGAAAGCTGTTGAACCTTCATTTCTAGAACCTTCACTTCCCTGTAAGGGAGCCAAGAGCAGATCTCATCTTTGGAGGGAGAACCTTTTAGAAGCTCCTCTAAGCTCTCCATGTCCTGAGAGGCTCAGGTGGTTTTGAGCCCGGTTGCAGCCATTCTTCCTCCCTCAGACCAGTCTGATGGAGACCCATTCCCGCTTACCTGAAGCCACAGTAGTAGGGGCACTGGCCTGCGCAGGTTGAGAGGAGCTGCTGCTCTCGGTCATGAGGCACGGGTTGCTGCCAGTGTTCTCTCTCTTGACAAGCAGCTCAGCAGCACTAGGTAGTGGAATGGGGTGGCTGATGCCCAGTTCCTCCTCCTGCGCCTGCTGCCTCCTCAGGGCCACCTAAAGCACAGAACAGTGAGTCATTCTCCAGCCTCCAGAATCACCTGTGCAGCTTTGCCAAAACCACAACACCATCATTCACTAGGTCCAGGGCAGAGGTCTGAGCAACTCATTTCTTTTACCTGGTTGTTCAGGTAATTCTGTGCAGCCAAAGCTGAAAATGGTTTAAGAGTCAGGAATCTGGCTCAGAGTAGGTGTTTCAAAAACACCTGCTAAACAAAGGAGTATGCAAACTATCGGGAAATCATGAAGGATCAGAAAGAACTACAGAATCAGCCAATGAGGGGAGTTCAATCTCAAAAGAAGAAAAAGCATTGATGAATTAGGAAGGAGAATTAGATCACTCACTCCTTCACTCCACAAACATGTAAAAGTAAACTGCACTGGGACCATCAACCAGTAAGGTTAAATTAGATCCTAAATTCCTTACCATTTAGGAGAAACAGGAGACAAAGGTGAGACAAGCAAGCATGCAACTACAAAACAAAATTTGATAAACGGCTTTAGAGAGGTACACACCAACCTTACACAAGAAATTCAAAGGGAAATGTCTTTAAAATGTAAGACTGGCCAGAAGTAGTATTCCAACAGACCCTTGAAGAATAGGATAAGCAAGACTTGCACAGGGAACAAGGAAGGATCAGAACAATCCAGAACAATCTGGAACAGGGTAGGCAGGAAGGGCAGGGGCTACTTATGAAACCCTGAATAACCCTGTTTCCCAAGGATAGAAGAAACAGAAAATCAGTCAGGAAAGAGGGGGAATCTTGTGAAGTCTATGGGGAGGAAGAAGTTGGAAGTGAGGAAAAAAGGAGAGGGCAGATGTGCTGTGGGACATTTTGGGCAAAAGGAAAGGAAAGCCAGAACTAAGACAGTAAAGAAACTGACATTCTATGAAACTCTTCATGGTCCTTCTTCAATTTATCATCTTTTAAACAACATTGTTAAAAGTTTTTTAAAGGCTTTGAAAATAAGTTTGTTTACCACATGTAACAAAAGAGACTTTCTACTCAAATTGACTAACAGTGACCATTAAATTAGCAAGTGAAGTGAGTACTTGTACCTCTGAGACTCAAAAACAAGCCTAAAGGTCATTAAAACAGTAAACTAAAAACACGACTGCACTACAAAGCTGGACAACTTGGTGCAATCCTATTAATTCCAACTACTAAGGAGGTTGAGGAAAGAGGATTCCAACTGGGCCACTAAGGTACATAGTGAGATCTGGTCTCAAAACAATAAGGGCTGGGGATGTTACCTCATGGCTCCCTGGGTTCAATTCCCAGTACAGTGGAAAACAAACAACTACAATCAATATATTGTATAGTCCAAACTAGATGATTAATTTGGAGATAACTTATACTACTCAAACCAAAGTCTTCAATTTAGAAAAATAAACCTTAAATAACCAGTTCTTAAAGGCTAAACTTAAATTCTGGATCTTCTATTATTATCCTACAAGTTTCAGAACACTATCAATGACTTTGAAGAAACATAAGTTTGCAAAAATCTTGCAAACCTCTAAACCGTATCAATACACACTTATACCCCAATTCACAGACCTTACACATCCAAAATGCACCAATTATTCCATAAATTCAGGACATCTTTAAAAAGACCCTCTTTCATGGTCTGTTAAAAAATGATTTTTGAATAAGGAAGGGGATGACAACTAATTAACATTTTAGAATCATACATATGATCAGTTCCAAACTACAGTACTTTAGAATGCCTAAAAACTATGGATTTTTAAAGACTTTAGTGTAACACAAATTTGGTGAGAGGAATCCTCAAATTTCATATTCTATAAGTAACTGAGGCTTTAAATTCAGCAAACAGTCCCTTCAAAAAGTTCCCCAAATAAAAATTATTCACAATTAATGTCCCTACTAATAAGATAAATATCTTTGGGCCAGGGATTTAGCTCAGTGGCACTGTGCCTGCCTTGCAAGCACAAGGTCCTGAGTTCAATCCCCAGGACCCCAAAATAAATAAATAAATAAATATCTTTAAGTCCTCCAACTACTCTTCACATGAAATAACTAAGCCAATGACTAAATGCCCATACTTTTTTACTTACAATTATAATTCAGAAGTTCTTAAATTTTTAAAACTAACCTCAGTGTGATGTCATTTTAATGTTACACCCAGTGTATTCTTTCCACTCGCTATAGATTAAGCTAAAATCTGTGGAGAAAACTATATTTTCAATGACTGCCCTTCCAATAAGTGAAGCCAAAGTATGTTTAACTTAAAGCATATTTTTAGAAATCTGTTGAACGTGGAAAGGAGATGATCTTTAAGCTTTTGTGCAGTCCTGTTCAACATTCTCATCTAAATCACTTTCAGGAGAATTTTACACATTTCTAATCCAAAGCACATTGTTAGCGAACACTTCTTCCGTATCTTTTCGTTTTAAATAACCTGTCTTAAAAAGATGAAACAACTTTAGGGGGAAAGAATGTATATTATTGCCTTCTGAAACTCCCTCTAGGATGCCAATGGCATGATTACCATTAAGATGCTAAATTACTAACCTACGGCCGAAGCTATGTAAAAATGAAAACGAACGACTGACAAAACTTCCAAACCCGCACATTTTCCCCCTTCGCGTATTTTTTAAAAATTCTTAAGCATCACTAAAATACAGTCAAAGTAATCTGCGCTTGAACCACTTGGGTCGAGGCTGCAGTTTCCAACCCTAACGTCTCTCTGGTGCTCAAAATGGTTGAGGCGCCTGGCGCTCCCGCGAGCGACGACAAGGAAAAGTGCGGGGAGCGCTGGCCACGCCACGCCACGCCGGTGACCGGCACCAGATTTTTCCGGAAAGACCCGAGGCGCTCCGTCCGGTGCTGCGGCCACCCGGGTGAGCGGCAGCCGGGGCCCCCTCTCTCCCGACCACCACCACCCGAGCGCAGACTCCCGAGATCCTTTCCTTTTCTAACCAATGACAGTCAACTTGTCCGCGGAGTCGAGGTTCGCGGGGACCCCAGCACCCGCTCCTGCAGCAGCGTCGGAGACCCCGGGACTCTCAAACAGGGCGCCTCGCGCGGGATCCCGCGGGGGACGGGGGATAGAGATCCCAGGGATTCCGGCAGCTCAGGGTGGGAGTGAGCCCCAATGCTGCCGCGTGCCCGGCCGTGTCCCGCAGTGGCTCGACTAGTGGCTGGGAGCGGGCCCCGAGCGCGCCGCGACCATCCTTGGTGCCCGCGGCGTCCCTCCGGGGCCCGCGGGCGCCCGCACTCACCTGCGCGGCCATCACGCGCTGCCTCTCGGCGATCAGGTTGCACTTTTTGCACTGGCACTCCCGCCACATGCAGAAGCGCTTGTGGCCCTTGAGCGGCGACGCGTAGCCGTGATTCCTGCAGCGAGCGCACTTAGGCAGCCGTGGGGACTTCTTGCCGGAGGCGACCGGGCCAGACGCCGCGCCGCTGCCCCCGGCCCCCGAGCCGTCCGCCGCAGCCCCTAGCTGCGCCCCGGCCGTTTTACCGAAGCCCCCGGCGCCCTTGCCCGGTGTCCCGTGCGGGGTATCGGACGATGCCGAGGACTTGCCGTAAGAGTCTTCATTGGGCATGTTGGCCCAAGAAGCAGCGCAGACTCCCGCTGGCTGGCGCGCTTGGAGAAGGGGGCAGCCCACGGCGAGGGTCCGGAGCCGGAGGCACAGCAGGAGTGTGCGCCCAGCCGGAGGTGCAGCCCGAGTGGCAAGCTCCGTTCAAGCCACGCCAGAAGTGTTGGTGGTGGGGGTTGTGCTCTTTTTCTTTTGGCTCGCGTGGCGCAGAACTTTTGGATACTTTTCAGAACGTTCCCGGGAATTCAGAGGCGGGAGAAGGAACACTGGAGCGTGGCCACGCCCTTTGTCCCCCAACCCCGGCCAGGAGCACGTTTGCAACAGCTGCAAGCACCCAGGGCCCTGCAGCAGGGTCGCTGCAAATGCACGAAGTTTAAAGCTTGACCCTCGAGAAAGGAGGCCAGGCTGCAAGGTAGCCACCCTCCGCAGCTCAAAAAGTCCTGCCTGCTGTTGGGAGGAGGTGCAGACCACCCCGTGGGGTCGTCTAGCTCCCTTCCCCCCACCCTGCCACCCCCGTGAGACGCATTCTCCAAGTTCATTGGAGCAGACTGTAGGCAAATAAGACCACCAGTGTATAGGGCTTAAGCACCTCCAAAATTTAAAAGTGTGGGGCTTTTGGTTCCCCATTTATCCTCGTCCTATACTTGTCTTCATTTGCTCATAGGATTTCTGCCTACTGGCTCTAAATAACTTTCTAGTCCATACAGCCCCAGCCCTAGTTACTTCTCAGGTCAAGTGCATATATAGTTTTCTGCCTTAGGTGTAGCTTCATTTAGATTCAGCACACAAAGTGAAATTCGACGTGGAAAAAAAAAAAGAATTTTGCGGGAAGTTAAGGCAGGAGGATCCCAAGTTTGAGCCCAGCCTGAGCAATTTAGCAAGACCCTCTCTCAAAAAAAAAGTTTTAAAAGGACTGAGGATGTACTTCAACCACACTGCAGGGGGAGAGGATGGTGAATTTTTAAAGGGAGGGTTGCACAGATGAAGATGTACATCAAAACCCAGTCTAGGGGCTGGGGATTTAGCTGAGTGGCTGTGCCGCCTGCTTTGCAAGAGCAAGGTCCCGAGTTCAATCCCTGGTACCAAAACACAAAAAACAGAAACAAAAAATTCTACACCTAAGATCTCTTCATTTTACTGTATGTAAATATAAAATATAAAATCTCACACCATCATGTTTCAGCTTTTCCCAGGATTCCTACCTCTGCACTCCCCACCCCCACCTCGCCGGTCTCCTCTGCAGGAGCACAGCAAAATTCATCCCTTCTTCCCACACACCCTGCTAAAGCCAGTCCTTAGGCTCAACTTTGCAACCCTGCAGTGACTTCCAGCTGGTCTCTCCATTTACTAGACTTTCAGTATATTCCAAGCACACAGCCCCAGGGCCCAGCAGGGACTTGGTATTGTTTTCCCTGTGAAGGGGGGAAAAAAGTTGGAGACCTCAGGCAAGTCTTAAAGCACTTTGCATGATCTCTCTGCTTTTCTTAGTGCTGTTTAGCTACCAGTTTGGATGTGTTCCTTGAGGACATTTTACCTTCCTCTTTGTTCATTCTCCCTTCTCAAACCTAACAGTGGCACTTGTCCTACCAAGGCTGCCCTTAACAACGCTCCCCACCCTCCTCACTTTTTACCAGTGCTTATACTTGCTTTCCACATTCTCCTCCACGACCTTAGAATGTTAGTTCTCCAAAGAAGTAAGGCCGCCCCACTTGACTTCTCATCGAAAGGAATGTCCAGTGGCCGTCAGTTAGCAGTTGGGCATGGTTAGCATTGAGCTCTGAAATCCTCTAGTCTGCCTTCCTTTTCTAATTCAGAGGCCCCTCTCACAGATACTTTCTCTCAGTGTGGATTTTCTCCATTAATTTTCGAAGTCTGAAAATTATTTCCTGAAGCTTCTAGCTTTACCCAAAACTTCACACTACCCATGAAGTCAGTGAAGTTCTACTCCCAACAGAGACCAGGCTGCAACCACCCATGCATTTTAGAACCTCTTAAATGATAACCACTATTTTATTCAGAAATATCACAGTCCCTGGAAGTCTTCCATTAAAATAAACCTGCCAGCCAGGTATAAAGGCACATGCCTGTGATCCCAGCTACTCAGAAGGCTCAGACAGGAGGATTGCAAGTTTGAGGTCAGCCTGGGGAACTTAATGGGACCCTGTCTCAAAATAAAATTTTAAATAAGAGAGACTGGGGATGCAGCTCAATGGCAAAGCATCTGCTCACCATGCAGGGGGCCTGGGTTCACTCTCCAGCAAAGCACAGCACACTACACACACACACACACACACACACACACACACACATACAAAGGCACATGCCATTGTTATTATCCACTATATTCTTCTTTTTAAAATATATATATACATATACCCATATATATACACTTCAATGCATAAACTGAAGTGGAATCATTCCAAAGGTCCTATCCAGCTTCACGGAATGAGGTACACGCAGGAAGAAGCAGTTGTCAAATCCCAAGTCACCAAGAAATATATGTTCCATATAAAGATTTGTGATGGAGGTATTTAAGCCTCCAGAAAATTTGGGAGTCTGAACCTGTATGGCCAACATATTCAGACATAAATGTCGTGATGAGATTAATAAATAAGTGAAGTTTTTATTCCCAATCCACAGAGGAGCTACTAGGCAGGAGGTGATTCAAATGGTAGATAGGAGAGTCCCAAGAATGAAGAGTCAGGGCCAGGTATGTGGCTCAGGGGCACTGCACCTGCCCGGCAAGCACCAAGTCCTAAGTTTGATCCCTGGTACTGCAAAACAAAACAAAAAAAAGAATGAAGAGTCATACTGAATATTTTGAATAGCCTGGCTCTGTTGTTTCCTTTCTTCTTTTTCCTCTTTCCAGAAATCAAAAATGATGAATCAAGGGCTGGAGATTTAGCTCAGTGGTTCCACCGCCTGCCTCGCAAGCTCAAGGTCCTGAGTTCGATCCCCTGTACCAAAAAAACAAAACAAAACAAAAATCATGAATCAACTCTAAATTACTGACTTAGAAATATGTCCAAGACATACCAAAGTAAGGGGAGGACAGTTCTAAGATATGGCCTGGATAAAATTTAGCAGATATGAGACCAAAAGTGCAAATGATAAATTAAAAATGGTAGATTGCTGTGCAAGCACAAGGACCCGAGTTCGATCCCTGGTACCAAAAAAAAAAAAAAAAAATGATAGATTGGGCTTCATTAAAATCTATAACTTTTGTGCTTCAAAAGACATCATTAAGGAAGTGAAAAGATAAGCTGCAGAGTGAGAAATATGTAAAAATCACATATTTGATAAAGGATTTGTATCCAGAATATATGAAGTCCTATTTTGATTTAATAATTTAAAAATGGGCTGATCTGGGCTCAGTGGTGCACCCCCATAATTCTAGATACTTGGGAGGCTGAGGCAAGAGGACAAGAGTTTAAAGCAGAAATTTCATTATTTTATTGGCAAGCCAGTACATAGTATATTTAAAAGAATAATTAATTTTGACTTCCAGCAATGTGACCTTACACTAGTTATTTAATTGCTCTGTGACTCAGTTTCTTCATCTGTAAAGGGAAGGGAGGTAATCAAAAATGCCTATTTCAAAGGGTTGTCAGTTAATACTTGTGAAATTTTAAAAAAATGTCTGCACATAGTACTATGTTTTGTTATTATTTCCGTATTGGAAAGTAAAGAGTAGGGATATATATCTGTGGCAAGAGGAAGCTGTATTAGAAGACAGCAGAGATAAATTCCATCTGCTATGCATTTTGTCTATGGAAAACTGTGCTCCAAGGAAAATTCTCTAGGTTGGTTCTGATCATACAAATAAGTCAATATATTCAGCTCCCCCTTGCCAAGTGTCAGCCGTGAGTCAGCTCACTTGAGCTCTGGCTTTGGTGTGTAAGTAAATATCCTGTGATCAGTAAGAGCAGAAGGAATCAAGGGAGAGGTAGGACCGGTAGGACTAAGCATTCCATTCGGAGGACCTTATAGGAGATGGAGGGCAGCCATCTTGTAGTCACACAGGATTTGAAGAGGCATAAGGAGAAAACAAGAGCTTCTGAGTCATGAGAATCAGGGATGGAAGGCTGGGTGTTGGGAGTGAGCCTGTAGGTTGGGGGAGAGGGTGCAGACATGCCAGTCTGGAACAGAGGAGGCAAGTTGGAGCCCAGCAGGAGATAAAGTTGGAAAGATAGCATGGCACCTTGCCTGCCAGTGGGGAATTTGGCTTCTATCCTATAGGCAAATGGAGAATGATGGAGACTTTTGTCCTTGAGGTGTTTGAAGAATGCAAGCATCATTTCTGCCAAGTACCATATGATTTGAACAAGCCATTTAGTGGTTTTTGTTTGGTTTGGTGTTTTGTTTTGTTTCGTTTGGGTTAATTTTTCTTTGTTTGGTACTGGAGATTGAACCCAGGGCCTCACACATGCTAAGTACACACACTTACACTGAGTACACCTCCAGTACAGCATTTTTGAGCCTTCTATTCTCATGTTGGGACAACTATACCACAGAAATTAGAGATATGTCTAAAATCCCCAGCAAGATACCTACCACAAAGAAAATGCTTCATCATTGTTGGCAGATGATTCTGATCTGTGACTTGGATTGGGGGATCAGAAGGTATTAGAAAGCAGATAATGTTGGCAAGAACCTAATTGTTCAGAAAGATGCCTATGCCTGAAGTGTCAGTCGGGAAACCTAATTAACCACCTGCTTGGCTGTATGCATTCCAGATGCCACGAGTATCCATGTAGAAGGAAGACAGCATCAGAATCCTGAATGTCATGATGGTAAGCCAGACAGGCCTAGTGGCAGACTGCTTGTGTTGGAGGCTTAAGGGGTTTTAAAAAATTAATTATCTATTTGCTGTATTGGGGATTAAACCCACAGCCTTTGGACTGAAGAACATCCCCAGGCCTTTTTTGTATAGAGATAGGGTCTCACTAAGTCATTAAAGGCCTAACTTTGCAGCTACATGCCTGTGGGCCAAGTCACACACTTTCTTTGCATCTCCCTTTCCTCATCTAGATATTGGAAATAACCTGAAAATTGCTGTGAGGATGCAATGATTGATGTGCAATTTTTACAAGACTGCAACAGTGCCTGTGAGAAAATAAGTACTAAGGATGAGCTGTTGTTCTGGGATTCCATAAGGAGTTTTTTCCCAAGTGGGGACTGAACCCAGGACCTCAGCACAGAGCTCCATTCCCCAGCCTCCCCAGTTTTTAATTTATTTTGAGACAGGATCTACTTAAGTTGTTAAATTGCCACAGCTGGGCTCCAACTTACAGTCCTCTTGCTTCAGCATCCTAGGGTGCTGAGATTACAGGCTGTACCACCAGGCCTGGCCCTGTGAGAGACATTCTGAAGCACAGAGTGAAGAGAAGGGAAACTAGGAAGCAGTCTTTAGAGTCTCATCAGTTT